CCTGGTATATAGGTGTTGGGGACTAGAGCCTGGGAGGGGGGACACCCACCTCGTCAGTTGTTCGGACACATGCTGCTGGTCTAACCTAAAAACTGGAGAGAGATAGAGAGAAAGGGAAAGGAGAGAAGGAGAAGAGAGAAAAAGTCTATGCATTAAGTGAATGGAGTGGCTGGAGAGAAAAGCTGGAGAGATAAGTTGTGTGTGTGGAGCAGTTGTCAGGTCCTGATCTGGAAGGGAGAATAAAGGTCTCTGGAAGAAGAGAAGACCCAGAGGGATGAGATCTCCACCCTAGACCAAGAACAGGCAGGGGAGACCCAGCTGGTTGCAGGCAGTGGCTTCACCCAAGACCCAAGAGGGGAAGGAGAAGTTCGGTTGTCATTGGAGAAGCCCTGGTCTCTGGGGAAGGACTGGACAGAAGACTCTGAGAGAGATTCTTAAGTGAACGGAGAAGCAGTAGTTGTTAGGCTGAGGAGTTCTAGGAGGAGGTCAAGCCATGCTGAGCACACTTCAGTAAATTCCAGCCCATACCTTTCTTTTCACTCTCCTGTCAAGCCCAGAAATGGAGGAGGGAGATGGAGAGAAAGGGGGAGGAAGCAGGAAAGCTAGAGGAGTGTAGTCTCTGGAAGGGAGACTTAGGAGGAAACCTGATGCCAGGTGAACAGTATTGTGTTGTAAATACCTGCTGTAAATAACGCCACTGTGTATAGTAAAAAACATAAAAGCCTCCATTGTCCTGTTTTTCTGTGTCAATTGCCACCCTTACAAAACAATACACCTTCAGTTCAAAAAGGAACCCCATCACACTGTGACATGTACAGATGTTACAAGGAAGAGAATTGACTTTTGGGGAGGTGGACAGGGGAACTAGTTTGATGGGGATGATTTATTTGGGCATTTAATAAATTAACTCAAGTCTCAGTTTCTACTTTGGTTGATTTAGAGTTTAAATTCAGCTAGCTGCATTTACCATACCATCTTATACCTAATTAACTGAAAATGTAAAATAATGTTCCATCATACTAAACATACCTGTGTTTCTATTCATTCACTGCTTGCTTTTAATGAGCAGGGTGGTGAATCATGGAAACCTGGTGAATGATGAAAGTCTTAGTGGTGAACATGATGTATCTTTCTGGAAGATTTGGCTTAGAAATGCTATCTGATGGCATCCCAGGGTGGAAGCCTTTACCTCAAAAAGTTCATGTGCATTAGGTTTGTCACAACCAACCCTGATAGCTCTGCATGATTGGTTTATCTATCTTCTCTGCACCCTCTTCTTCAGATTTGTTATCCAGGTAGCTGCTCTGAGCTAGATACAAGATATTGGACCAGAGTCTCCTCACTTCCTTCAGCTTGACTGATTGTTTGAATAGCCTGAATGAAACTAGTTTATTGTTAGATATAAATTTATCCTGACCTGAGTGGAATATTGCCTAATTTCTCTTATCTATGGGTTGTTCCCTTTGAATTATAAGGCCAGCAGAAACTAGAAATTTAGAGAGGGAGATCACAGGGTGATGTAGAGGAATTAATATAATTTTTTATCTAAGAAGCGGATATGGAGGGAAGTTAATGCTATAATTCTGTTAAAAGCTGTTGGTGGCATTCTAATTCTACAACGTATAATTATCACTTATTTTAGTATAATTTAATGATGATGCTTATAACAATAATAATTAGTACTTCTATAATATTTTGGAATGTTCTGAAGACTTCAACACATTATGTTATTGTAATCCTTACAGTTGCCATGTAAAGGAGATTATAAACATTATACATATATTACAAATGTAGTGGGCCTGACTCTTACTAAGTAACTTCATAGTAGATATGACAATGAACTGGGGATTTCTTGGTATATATTTTAATTTCTTAGCTCCAATGCTGCACCAGATCTCCTAAACTTAATTTAATTTTCTCTGAATAATATCCATTGAACTTGGGGAAAAGGAGAAAAAAGTATTTAATTCTCTGTTTGGATATAACTTATACACAACAACAGCTTCTAAATTCAGTCATGCCTATCCTTTTTTTTTTTTTTTAACTAAAAACTTCTTTCAAACTTTGTACTAATTCTGCAAGTCTACAAGAATACCCTTACATAGCTATATATTCCAGGGTTAAAGCTAGAGCATATATTTTTATGGTGCACTTAAAATCTGGCACATTTGTAGTAGTTTAGATAATTGTGTTGCTTCTTAAATTGTCCTTGAAGTGCCAAAAAGACCTCTAACAGCGCTGATTAGACTGAATTTAATTTCCCTGATTTAGACATTAAATAGGAGCTGCAATTAACCATCACTGACTATCTTTTGGAAGTATATTTTTAGAATGAGCATATACTTTAGCAGCATTAAGCTATTATTCAGTGTTTAGTACTACTTGAAACTTACTGAAGGATCTGGCTAAATACTGCAATTATATCCCTTGCTTCCTCTAGAAAAGACCATCTCTTCCTTGAGCTCCAGTTCACATTCATACATCTGATTTTCAAGCAATCTACTGGTTGAGGAGAATTGTAATCCACAATGTTCTAAATGCATGGGTTTCAGTTTTTTTCATTTTCAATGAACTTTTTCCATATTAATGCCTCTGCAGACTCTAAAAAAACCTATTAGACTTAGCATAATACCATGTCAAGAGAACATTTGCCCTCTACATCTTCATTTCACTATATTGATCTTTTTAAAGAAGAACTCCAGACTGGCTTACAAGCCATGAAGTTAGTGTGAAATCTCTCACATAAGCAAAGAATGAAATAATGTAGGAGTAAGCTCACTTTGAATATGCAGAACATATTTTGGATGATTTTATAACATGGCTGCCCTGATGGGTGTGATCAGTTACAAAGCAGTCATTAACCAGAAAACAAGCTGGTAAGATTGTTCTTGGCCATTCCCTCTACTGAACCCAACAGGATGGTTTCTACTACCCAAATATCTTTTTCATCCTTTTTCTGAGCAGATGAGTTTCAAACAGTAATGGGCTTTAGCCACGTATCACCTTTATGTCTTAAAAATGTTGATGTGGTCAATATGGGCATTCTCAGGTATAAAGATTGATGGGTTCTGCTGCTTTGCTTTGTCATATATCAGTTTCCTTTTTTTTTTTTTTTTTTAAAACAAAAAAAAAAAAAAAAAAAAAAAAAAAA